AAGAGTAAGGGTTTATGTCAAAGTACCACAAGATTGTATCATAGCTATGTTAGGAAAAATGGAATTTAATTTTATTAGCTAGATGACCAGTTTTCCGCTTTAGTTGAGATCTTACTATTTTTTGCATTCATCAACCCCAGCTATGAAAAACTTTTTGAATCCTGCTCTAGTCAAGCCAGGCAACTTCTATTCTTCACAAATGCTCCTGTCCTCTCCACCAGCAAGAAGCTCACAAAGTATTAGTACTACTTCATCTCAAATCTTACCTTTGCATCCCAGAATACTGGTTTCTGAAGTGCATGAGGAGATCAATTATGGTAATGCGGCTGCAAATGCTGGCGCGTCTCTTGAAGGTAGATTCTCTCTAAGTTAATTTATAAATTATATATGTATTTTAGTAATAATTTAAAATAGACATTACAGATAGCCAATTGGTCAACTTATAGGTTAATCTAGGTATGCATAAGTCTGATATCTCTAGTCCTATTGCTACTAGGACAAGTGGGTATGAATTTCTACAAACAAAGCTAAAAGTGTGTAAAAGTCATATTTATGATAAAGCTAATAGTGAAACAATTATGGTGGATGGTAAGCCAAGAGGGCAGTGTAATTGATGTACTGACCGCATAGTTCCGATAATATTTGCTGCTTCTTCTACAAGAAATATTATCTAGCATCTTTGCTGCTACTATCAAATTAGACCAGATGGTCAAGTTGTGGCAGGGCCAATACCTGCCTAACTCTCAATTGAATCTGCCTTTGGGAATATTGCCCCCAAAATGGTGTTTAATGCTGATATATTTCATAGTAGGCTAATTCTGTTGATTACAACAGCTAGTATTCCTTTCTCAGTATGCAATCATCCAGCCTTTCTTAGACTTTTAGCCTATCTCGGTGCTTGTCAGCCTAATCTTAAGGCAATAACAAAGGTAATTCCCCAATCATACCATACTTTACATCACTGTTTAGATGAATGCCATGATGTGATGTTTAATGCTGTAAAGAAATTACTAGAGAGAGCTATCTGCCGAATTCATTTCAGCTTTGACCTCTGGAGTGGCTCAAACATGCGTACCTATATGGCAATAGTAGTATACTGGGTTGACCCAAGTTTCAAGTTGTATGCAGTTCTTTTAAACTTGTATTACTTTATTGGTGTGCATACTGGGAAGAACTAAGCAGCCTATTTTTGGATAACTGTTCAAAGATATGAGATTGAAGGTAAGATTTATAACTTCAATATTGATAATGCTATGAACAATGATACATCATTGCAGGAAATTGCACATATTATATATTTGCATAATATTCCTCCAATCCATCCAGTTCAGGACCCTCTTTGCTACTTTAGGCATATAATTAACCTTGTTGTTAAAGGTTTTCTCTGGGGCGAAGATAGAACATCATTTGTGAGTGAGGGAAATGAGACTTATTATTCGCCTGAAGGACTCAGACAGCTACAGGAATGGCAGAAAAAAGGGCCAATCGGTAAGTTGCACAATATTATTACCTATATTCATCAAATACCACAATGCTTGGACCAATGTACCACTGTACTGCAAAGTACATATCCAGGTGAGAGTATTGCTATATCAATACTAGAGAACTTAACACAATGGTCTAGCAATTATGAGTCTTTAAAGTATGCCTCACATATCAAGACTGCAATTAGTAGCTTTATTGCTACATCTATTGGAGTAAACTATAACGGAGAAAGAGCAGCTAACAATAGAGCTTTAATTAATGATGACCTCTTTGAAGAAGATTGGAGTACTTTGGATCACATTATGGAAATTCTTGAGCCTTTTACAGAGTGGAGTACAAGACTGCAGGTTAAATATTCTAATGGATTTATTGCTAACATCTTGCCTGTGATGGATAAGATAATGGCAATCTTGGAAAACACTAAAAACACACCAAGGTACCATTCTCATCATATCTCATCCATGATATCTAATCCTCTCAGAATTCTCAATACCTATTATAAAAACAACAGAGGTATGTCCAACTTATGTTGTTGCAGTTATCTTGAATCCTGGAATGAAGATGGAGTACTTTGAGGTGTAATGAGATGAACATCCTGATGCTATTCAACTGGCTAAAAAAACCTTGAATAATATGTGAGTAGAATCATATAAGAGCAAGTATCCAGCTATCACAGTATTAACTCAACAGGATACCAGATCTCAGGTAGATTAACGAGGTGGTCCTAGCTCCAATATACAATAAAGGCATAAATTTCAAACTAGTTTTTAGTGTAAGTATCAGGTATTGATGGAATCTGAAGGAATTAACAAGTTAGCTCAATATTTACGGAAACCAATTTCTCAAGATATTAACATGAACCTCTTAGAGTATTGGTCTAAGATGTTGGATATTCAAGGAATGAGAGATCTTGCACAAATGAGTTTTGAAATCCTTAGTATTCTAGCCATGTTTAGAGAGCTGGAGACAATCTTTACCAGGTCAAGAATTACACAAACTAATAGGTGCTGGAGTATGGAAGATGAGGTACTAGCTAAGATTGAATGTATTAAGTCCTGAATTAAGAACAATTTTCTTCTAGTTACCCATCCTGAAGCACAGATAATCGAAAATTTGCTGGATACTCTGGTTGCTGAAGACACTAGAGGTAGAGACTAAATCCTTAGAATTGTGTGACAAATTCTGTAATTACTATCTACTCTTATACTAGTACGTAGGAGAAATGTAGTTACAGGAATTAAATTAGTTATAAAATTCAATAGTCTTAGTCTTATAAAATATTATAATTGTTAGCTTTTATCAGAAAATTTGGGTCAAAAGAAACATTTTAGTGATTATAAATAATTTTACTATGGCCTATGGGCCTTGCAGGCTGGCTTAGGATGTCATGGGTAAGGCCAGGCTTTTGTAAGCTGGGTCCAGCCCGGCCCATGGTAAGCATTGATTGGTGAAGGCTTTTGAGAACTTGCCTGCTACCTTCATCTGAACATATTATTCTCAGCACTTAAAGAAGAACCTTGTAACTACCCATGGAAGAGGCTTATCCAACCTCTTCTGGATAAACTGCAATGGCTCTAAGTGTTGAATTCTTTGAAGTACCAATAGCAAAGGTCCAAGAAGTAAAGCCTACAGTTGAGTAGTATTTACGAAATGCTAATCCAATACTTTGGGCTAAGGCATTCTTTCCTGGAAAGTGGTATGATCACAATACTTCCAATATTGTGGAGTCAGTTAATAGTACACTAAAGCTTGATCGTGAGCCCTCAATTGTAGAATTACTAGATGCAATCTGGCATAAGCTCATGGGTCAATGCTTTGAATGGTATACAGAGGCCATTGCGACTAGTCCTACTATTTTGTACATCAAATTTCGCACCTAGCTGTTTGGTCAAAGCAGGTTGTAGGCAAGACAAAATATTACTCCCATGGCGGACGAATTTCATGGACATGTCACTCAACTAAAAGGAGATGTGAAACCTGTAGACCTTGAGGAAGGAACTTGTTCATATATAAGCTATCAGGAAAATGGCATTCTATGTGGACATGGTTTGACTTGTCTTTTTACTATCAACCAGGTTTGTCTTGCTCTTGTTTTCTTCATACTTATATAACTTACATTATGCTAGCCTGTTCAAAACTATCTTCTTAATACCTTTACTGTCACTACCTGAAAATCAATTTACAAAGACAACTTCCTTCCTGTCAATATTACAAATATTCAGGAAAATGGAATACCAGCTGAATCACAGGAGGGAATTGTTCCTATTTCCCTACAGGAGCCTCTTATTATACGCAAGCCCTGTGGAAGACCAAGAACAGAGTGCATATGAGTTAGTGAGGTTTAGCAAAGACAGTTGATTGCAAATCAACTAGGTATTCTGCCTGATGAGCCTGCATGCCTAAGGCAAAAATGTTCAACATGTTGGAGAACTGGGCATAATTCAGCTACTTGTCGCCATTCATATGGCTAGTAATTGTCTTATTCATGGTTTCATGCTCAATTATGTCCTTAGACTTTGCTTTCTCTGAATGTTCTACTATGTAAAATATTTATTTTAATTAAAATTTTAAAATTAATTATTAAAAAAACTTATATAACCGAATTTGATAACATCTGAGGCTAATGTTGCATTTGAGGGATTTTTTTAAAACATTAATGGCACATGAGACCTTTACTGTTATAATTATTACTTGTTCATGTAGTATAATGTTCTACTAAGATAGTAATATGAGGCTTTTTTATTTTGAAATACTGTTTTTAATCCTACTTTTACAACCACAGTAATAGGGTTTGTGTTGCCTTAGCATGATATTGTATATTTATTATATTTCTCTAAATGAATACCTATATTCTGAAATATACTATAAATTTATCTTAGAATATATATCATTTGAAACATTTATTGCGATATATTTTTATTGTAATGCGCCGAACAGGGCCTTTATTTTATTTTATTTTATTACGGTGGTGGGTTTGGTGGGGGAAGCGTAGTTGTCAAGATGAAAGTTTTTCGTGTTCCTGAGTGTGCGGTTAATTTTGGCAATGAACAATAAGATACCGAGGAGCAACTCAAACCTCTTGCCACCTGCCAAATGATGTTGGAGCTAATACCCCCTCTCGGTATGCTTGCCAGCTGCTGCGGATTGTTCCGAAATGCTTAAAATCACGATATCAGCCCCTCGTATTTAGGACAACTACTGTTTGCTAAGCTCAAATTGTCGTCTCGAAGCAATTGAGCGGCGCGACTCGCAGTAGTTCTCATGCCACTTAGGCAAAACCGCATGATATTTCATACGAAGACACATTTAAATATTCCGTGACCCGTGCAAGGTTTCCATCGCACCAGCATACATAGTGATGGATTTCTGAATGTACAACTTCAATAATGCAAGCACAAAGTGAAAGTAGAGGGAAAGGAAAGGCTCAAGATCCCGTGGACGCCCAGTGTCCATGATACGCATTTTCCCACACCTCCGCTCATACCGCCCAGAACCCTTAAAAAGGACAATAGCCTTCACCTCTTCCTCTTAACCCTCCATCCATCCTCTGAGAAACAACAAATCCCCTTCGAAATACACCAATTCTTCACATCTTTCGTAGTTACCGTATGCTTACCAAACCCACCCTCCATGATCCCTCGAGCATTCAGCCATTCCGCCAGCTCCTCCACGCTGATGGGATCGTACATCAAGATCGCATGTGAGAACCTGCACCCTTCGCTCCCGGGTTCGATATCAAGGATTATGCGCGATATCATTTTACGGGACAGTTTGGGGGATTTGGAACGGGAACGCGAGCGGGAAGGAGATACACTCTTTGATGGTGACTTAGGTGATGAGAAGGGGGAGACGGTTTGTTTTTGCTTGTGCTTTTTAGCTTTGCGTTTAGGCGATAGGGGCGGGGTGCTTTGTACGGAGTTGGACGGGCTTTGAGACTTTCGTGGATATTGTATGCTTGTCCCGGGGGCATTGCCTACAGCGAATTGCTTCGCCATGGATTGGTGGGTAAGGGACTGATCCCTGCGAGTCGGTGACCGCCCTCGGTCTGGGGGTCCAGGAACCCCGCTCTCAGTGGGGTATCGCCTTATTGTTGGCCTGTTCCCCCGGAATTTGGAGGCCCCTGGAGCGGTAGTCGTGGAGTATTCTTGGCTGCGAGAGATATTTGGCCAGCCTGATTGCGGAAGATGGGTAAAGGTTGGACTAGTAGACCTCGTTCGTTGGGTCAATGTCTTAGTGGCGGCAGCTCCCCGGCCCTTGTTGGTATCCTGTTCGATATTCCGCTTGTTTTTCGCTAGCCAGCACTCTTCAAGAATAGATATCATTCGAGACCTGGTTTTCAGGTCTTTAAATCCGTATCTTGCTACCTCAGCCTTTAATTTTGTTGTTATCCATGCATTGTAGTTTGGCATGGATGGCTCAGGCTGTACTTGAGGATCGGGGTTGAAGGTTGTGGCGGAGGAATTGACAAGAGCAGCTACCCTGCTTGTGGGAGTGTCTACAACCGAAGTTGTAACACTTTTTGGAATCATCGATGATGCGCGATCCGACGTTTTTGCGAAGTTATCAAACGATAGTTCTCTTACATCATCCGCATCTGGAATGACAAATCGTTTCAGTTTGACGGGGGGCATATCTTCTGTTCGGAGATGCGGTATAAATTCCTCCCCAACACCGTTTTTCTGGGGAGAGTTTGCGGGCTGGCCCTCCACTTGTAAATTTCGCATATCCTCACCCTGAACGACGATACTTGGTGGTCTCGTCAAATGCCCCTCTATCCGAAGGTTTGGCACTGGCTCATCTTCGACTGTTCCCATAGGATCCGGGAGGGCTGGGCCCTCAGATGAGCTTGAGCTCCTGGCGGTCGATATCACTTCCACAGGTCCCGGGTTGCTAGGTAACGACAGGATCCCATTGTCAACGGACATGTCTACGACCTCCACCGAGAGCAAGCCACCATCCAAATCTCTGGCCGCTGCATCCCATAGCTTGCTGACAGTCCTTCTCCCTAATCGACTTTCAGGCAGCATTGGCTGCTCCATAGGAAATTCTTCGGAATGGGACCCAAAATCTTCAACCGTCGATACATCGAGTAGACCGATATTTGTCCAATGTCTCGTTCCCACTAGTTTATTCCCACCCTTCCTATCCTTCGTTAAGGTTTTAAGGAAATTTCTCCTTACAATTGACGTCGAAGGGGGTATATAGTCAGGAGTGTCCTCATCCTCAGCAGGCTCCAGGTTGTCGACCGTCTCGATCTCCGCCATAACTTCCAATTGCGAACTACTGCCAAAGATACATTCTGTCTCATCGAATTGGCGCTTAGCAGCCTTCGGGCTTAGAAGTTTCGGCGCTGGAGAGGAATCTCTCTTCGTCGCAGAAGCTGTCTTTCGCTTTCGAGTTAGCTTCTCGACTACAGCACTTTCGGAGGTGGCGTCCTCAAGCGCAAAATAATTGAGCAAAGAGTGGCTTGTCACTTCCTTCGCCTCTCGGTATTGCGTTGTTGCTTGGCCTGTGATTGTCCTTGTTTTTTTCCTTGGTTGTTTACATTTGGACGCTCTGGGCTCGCCACTAGCGATATTAGAGTTGCTAGGAAGATTTACAATCTGTCAGACGACATTTAATTAGCATGCAATACAGGGTATTAACATAATTCGATAAACTAACCTCTATAGCTCGCTTCTTGATTAGCCCATTGCCAGACTTATTGAGCCCTCCAAGCGAAGCCAAAGCGCTGCCGTCACGACTGTAGCTACTCGAGAGCTTCATTTCACTAACCATATTTGCAAAGTCAAGCGTCCCCCTGCCTTTGGTGTCTTTCCCTTCACCTGTCTCTATGCCGCCTAGAGTAGGGGAACTGTCGATACTAATAACAGTGTCCTTCACGGGAGTCCATTCTCTATGGACGAGGGGTATGGGCGGTTCGGTAATTAGCTTGGTCGGGGATTGGGGAATAGAAGAAGGGTTCCCATAAATTACTGGTTTGCTGGGCACTTCTGCTGCATCTTGCGGTGCGAAGAATGGTGATTTTGTTGGCATGGACTTCTTGGCGGTTTTGGCCACAATCTGACCATCGTTCATCGTCGCCCTCTTCTTTCTCGTATTTTTAATCTTTGGTTTGGTGGTATTCTTTGCTCCAGCCTCGCCCAAGACTTTGCTCTTTGCCAGAAAATCGCCAAGTGTTGGTGTTATAGAATTCCCCCTCGCTCGAGATATTTTGGCAATAGGGTCCCCAGTTGGTTTTAGTGCTCTCTTTCTTTTGGGCGGTAGTTTGGTGACAACACCATCTCGGCTGTCGCTGTTTGGAAGATTCCAAGCATTTTCCAAGATAACTTGACGTGATAACAGGGTTCTTGTATCATTCTGTTTCTGTATCGCAGCTGTACCTTTCTCAACGAGTTCTTGTAAAAGAGCTGAGGGCGAGAGTAGTGGAGACGAGGGCTGGGAGGACACCATTCTATTTGCTTTGGTGGGAGTTGTGATTCGCAACGAAGGGACAGGTGGTGAAGATAAAAGAATTATGGGGTCCATCCTTGTATTCAGCGGTGCTGTGGTGTGAACTAGAAATGAGCGATGGGCATACTTGACGAGTCTTCGGGTAGCCGCGTGGGATGCCAGCGTGAATTCTGCGCCAAAGGGCGATGTTGACGAAGGGCACCAAACTAGCACAGGGGTGCTGAGTGTTCAATGTTGTGTCTCGTCGAATTTGGCGCGTGGGCGCTAACCGAGGGCAAGAAAAACGTGACATACCTTATCTATGCACAGGACATTGAATTGTGGTGGGTGAAAGGTTACGGTAGTCCACCGAGCCAATCCTATCTCGAGTATCATCACTGCACCAATGGTTGAGTTGAATGCAGCCAGTCGGCTTTTCTCCCTAATTCCCAAAACGTGCTTGGGGGCTACTAGCAGCGAGTTTTATTGGAGTTGGATCTCTAGTCAGTCTTCACGTCTCTCGTCCTTTACCTGTTAGCATTGAGACAGGCGGAAAATGTGTTTAAGATCTCAGCCGTTGAGGTACTCGACTGCAGTTCTAGCCCCTCTTTCAGTAGGGATCCATTATATTTTCTTAAAAGGATCTGTGATACTTGTAATTGGGCCACCGGAAGTCATCTTCCAAGCACGCCTACACATACCGGTACTGGTGCTGGGGTATCCTTTTTAAATCACTAGGGTAGTATGATACGAGTCATTGATGGTAGACCTTAGAACTGAAAAAGTATAGGTACATACTGTACCTACCGTATTATCATTTGATATCATACCTGGAGAGACATTTTCGTAAAAGACAGGGCTTATTCTGAATGCGAACAAAACTTAACTCTCCTCTGCGTACAATACCCGTAACCATGGGTGATAATTGAAAAATTTCCACTTTTCATACTGTGTGGCTGGACCTTCGTGCCTTCATGTACAGTGCTGTGAAGTATTCTGCGTCCACAAAAATGTCCCACTTACTCAACCCCAATGCTGCACTATTGTCCCCACCGAGAAGGCAGGTAACCGAGCTTTAGTCCTACTCTTTGGCTTCCACCCCCCCACCTTCCATTTATTTTCTGCGCTACTCATCTCCTCTATATTTCCCAGTTTTCTCATTTTTGAGAGCTCTCCCCACATTCCTCCGTTTGTTATTTCCTTAATCATATATTAACGTCGTTAGTTGCCAAAAACGCTGGAGAGCCACTCAACGCCCCCTTGTTCGGAGTTCCGTTACCAGCAGGAATTTTCATTGGCAATCAACTAGTAAGGTTGCTCCACCCCCGCTAGCCCTAGGCTAATCCCGAGGTTCAACACCAGATCTGCTACAAGCTAATTTGCTGCTCGGGTACATCCTCTTGAGATCTTGGTCATGTCGAAGCCAAAACTATCCCCTCCAGTTATCAGACAACTCATCATTCTTGGTATATCTCATCATATCGTGATCAGGTTGGAGACCGAGGTTCGCTAACTTCTAGCAGCAGCATGTCGGCTCGCAGAACCTGTTTCCCTGACTTCTGTCTCTCCTTACCTGGTGAGTCCTTTTTGGCCTAAGTTTTTATGAGAATAGGAGGGGTAGGAGACGCTAATTCATCTTCGAACTAGTATTATATGGTTGAATCCTTTGGAGTTCCCCACGAAGAGATACCGTTTTATGTCGGAATAACTTTCGCCTGTTTCTCATTTGCTCAGTTCCTCACAGGGATCTTTTGGGGGCGGGTTAGTGACAGGTTCGGCAGGAAGCCGACAATGCTGATGGGGCTGAGTGGATCGCTCTTGTTCATTTTAATTTTCGGTTTCTCGACTACTCTTCCTATGGCTATATTCGCCAGGTGCTCTTCAGGGCTTGTAAATGGGAATGTATGATTCGCCATCCAGTTAGCCCCTGAATTCACCGAATCTGACATCCTTTGTAGGTTGGAATATTGAGAACTATGGTGGCTGAGATGGTTCCACAAAGGGAGGTATGTTGTCCAGTTCACGATAATACCGATATCAGAATCATTCTGACTATACAGCTTCAACCCCGAGCGTTTTCGGTCATGCCGATGATTGTAAATTTTTGCCCTCTTAAGCTGCTTAAACCTTTCTAATATCGTGCAGTGGACTACGGGATCGATTCTCGGACCAGCTATTGGGGGGTTTCTTGCTGATCCTGTAACTAACCACCCGAATTGGTTTAAGGGAGAACCACCGGCCTTTCTTAAGAAATTTCCATTCTGTCTGCCAAACTTAGTCAGCGCTGCCCTTCTTGTCTGTGGTCTGTCTGCCGGGGCTCTCTTCCTTAAAGTATGCACAACTCTTCCGTCATATTCGATCGTGAAGTCTGATACCTCTGATGTAGGAAACCCTTGAAACAAAGAAGAATGAGCCTGACCGTGGCCGCCAAATTGGGAAAAAGATAATTGAGTTTTTCTCCCAGAGCCCGCAGCACCGCACGGACATGCTGGACGAGACTACTTCTCTCTTAGCGGACTCCTCCTCGAGAACTGATGGGGAAGTGAATTTCCCACCGGAAGTTCTTAAGGATTCTGCGCCGCCACCGCTGATGCAAGCATTTACCTTTCAGTCCACAGTTAATATTATTGTATATTGCTCAATATGTCTACACACCATAACCTTTGATCAGCTGCTCCCCGTGTTTATGTCATATCCGCGGGAGGATACTCCTAGACAGGGCTTAAAGTTCGCAGGAGGGTTTGCCATGCCAAGTTATACCATTGGCTTTTTCTATACCGTTTACGGTATTGTCGGGATGTTTCTACAGGTAAGAGTACCACCCCTCCTTGTGCAGTAGGCATTGCAGGAGATGCTCAAAGCTGACCCGTCTAGTTCTTTGTTTTCCCCCCCGTGGTCAACGCTCTTGGCCCCTTGCGAACCCTCTGGTGCTGTAGTTTAGTCTTCCCAGTCATTTACTTTCTCGCACCGTTTACGCTCCTCCTCCCACGCGACCACCAGCATTTAGTACTCTTCTTCCTCCTTTTTGCGAGAGGTGTATCGTCTATTTTCTCATTTCCTTGTAGCACTATACTGCTTACGAATTCTAGTCCTAGCTTGAGGCTTTTGGGCACCCTCAACGGAATTGCTGTTGCGTTGGGTGCCCTTTCGAAGGGTATGGGGCCGGCTGTGGGTAATCCATTTCGCGTGTAATTTGGAAAATGTCGCTAACACCATTGATAATAGATCGGAGGTCTGGCATTCACTCTTGGCCAGAAAACCGGGTACGGAATCCTCCCCTGGTTTCTGTTGTCGGGAATAACCACCCTCTGCATCCTGCCATTGGTCTTTCTAGTTGAAGGCGAGGCTTCCCCGAATAATAAACCCATGCAAGGAGTTGAAGGCGATGAAGTAGGTCCTCTCGCCAAGTGACTTGGTGCATGAGTAAGTACTCAATTTGGCTTCAAAACCTCAGTTAGAGTACGGTTTCATTCGCCTCTCACTTCTGGTCAAAATTCTCAATACAAACAACGACGTAATGCGGAATGTATGTATAAAACCGAATATACGTGAAAAACTTCTGTTCGGAAGCTATCCGTTGTATCGACCGCACGCCCACCCTTTGTGTATTTATCAAAGTTGTGGAAGGAGAAATGAAGAGGCTAACATACTCTACCATCTTCACCTTTCCGAAATGCTCACATGAACACTTGCGGTTTTGACCATGTTAACCCCGCCCCCCCCACCAACCCCGCCATTCCAATAAAAATTTCAAGAATGCAACATCAACCAGGTGGCTTTGTCCGATGCAACAGTGGCTGTGCCATAGAACTGCCAAGCCAACTAGTGATAGACTATGAAGGAGTTTATAAAAATACTTGAAACTATAAGAAAATAGTGTTGTTTATTAAACTAATCTGACTGTTTGTGACTCAGACACTCTGCAATGACTTTTATATGTTTTTGTAACCATTTCTTCCAAGTCTGCAGTACTATATAGAGTATTATTCCTACATGCCATTATTATTCATCAGCAAAAAAAAGGACAAGCACTGCGTCAGATGTATTAGCTGTACATTCTAATACAAATATTTAGTTACTCACATCCCATGCATCCTAGATATCCCGAGTATCTAGTTGCATCCAACAAGTCTGATATTTATTTAAAACAAGGATGTGCTAATTTTCACCTCCTAATTTGTCTTAGTCAATCTTGATCCTTACTGATGACTGGACAGAAGACTGCAGACAGTCTAGATCATAATACTAAGCCACATACTAGTAATTGGTATATCTACTGAGCACTAGGACTAAATCTAAAAATATTCGCAGAAATATGAAATGCGTAGCAGCAAATTTTATTTTACTCTCTAAATAAATCTGTGTAATCAGGGCTCTCTCTGGGAATATGGATCCCGAGGTTGTGACTGGACTGAGATGAATTCTTCTAGGAACAAATTGTTAGGCGGAGACAACTGGATAGACTTCAGAGTTGTCTAGGCCAATCAAGATTCTTTTCTGTAGACGGATATTGTCTAAGAAGGCTCTGATTACACTTGTTTCATGTATGACAACTATGAGCGAAGTAGGTAAAGTAGAATAGAATCATTAGAATAATATTATATTGTTAGGATCTCTTCTCTCTTGCTTGATAATGTCTAAAGGTTTGGAAGGCACTTGGATATTTATATTCTACATCTGAGTATTGGTGGACTATCTCTATCTATTATACAACTATGTATCTCTATGATTATGACTTGCAACATCGAGTATTCTTCAAAGATGCAAACACCTAGAGAACCCAAAAATCACCACAGCATCTTCGGCAATTAATAAATTGCTAACTAGGAACTATACTATTCCCAATAGTAATTATCCGATCATCAGAGTTTTTAGGCTTATGGCCCAGTTCTCAAGTCGAACTGAATTGGCCTCAATTGTTTTTGTCATTGATGAAATAATCAGTTTCATCTAGGTACTGTATCTGCGGAGATAGTTATAATTGCAACCTTCCTAGTTCTCCTAACTTCAAACCGCTATAACTCCGTTTTCAACCATCAGATATTTTTTAGATGACTTCGTAATAAGTCCTGTGGAAGCTATATCACTGGATTAATGGATAATCCCTCAGTCAGCAACCCTTTGTTGCTCTGGGTAATAGGGTTTCCATTCCTGTTCTAGTATTGGGAGCCATTTCCGCAATCAAAATGCATTTCTGGACTCTGTTGTAACAATCTGCCAAGTCTATTAGCTTCTGTGGCAGCGTTTCTCAGAGTTTTAGACTCTTCTAGTTATTGTGGAGTGGGTGTAAATGTATTAGTTTCTTGTTGAAATTCTTCAACATTCGTTATCATATCTTTGTACGAAAACATCCTGTTACCTACGGCCCATACCAGAGATATCACATCTTTGAAGCCTTGTATCTCTCTGAGTAGTTGACAGATATATCCTGTTCTACCTCTCAGACCTAGCTGAATGACCCCTCTTATATATATACTGTAAACAGAATCTGGTTGGATGAACAGCAGAAATGTATATAGTGTTATTCTAACACCTTCAATTTTGTGGTAATATAGTCACAGGACGCAACTAAGATAAATAAGTATGATAAGGTATGGGTCCCGCAAGGGGGCCAGAGGGGGGTGTTGAAGACCAGAGGTTCTGATTCTGGATGGGGTTATTCTATGTAGGATGGTTTCTAGGTATCGGATCCCGGTATTCCTAAGATAAGCTCCATCCTTTTAAGGTTTCGCCTCGAATACCTTTTGAATAAAAATAAAAAATTTAACATTAAATTAACACAATTAATTATCAAACCTCCAGTATTAACTCCTTTATGACCCAGTAAAGACAGGGTGAAAAACATTCTGCGTTTGCTTAGTTACAGGAGGAAAATGTTTACCTCATCATCGTTCAGCTGCCTGCCGTGGCATTTCCAGATTATCACGGTGAAATTCTTCCACCATTTGTCTCGTATTACCTATTCCTGTTACAGGCTCCCAAGTATTCTCGTCTTCGGAACAACCTTGCCATTTAACAAAGTATTATAGTTCACGTACTTGGTAGTGACTGTGTACTCTTTTTCAGTAAGAGCCAATCTTGCTTCTTACAATCTTTTCTATCTGCTATTGGAAGTCGCTCTTGATATCTGCGAGCTTTGTGGGAGGTAGTTGTTAGTTTGCGCATACCAACTTCCTGTAAGTTTCTAACAGGAATACATTGAATCCTAGGTGTATGTTCCATCGATTGGAAATATTGAGTTTGTAGGAGCAATTTCCTTGTTTCTCTAAAATCATGAATAGTCCATATAACTTTAAACTAAGTTTCTTTAACTTCCAGTGTGTTTGAACTTTTTTCATGTTTAAAGTTACTTTATCACAGATGTTGAAGTTGAGTTGTTACTTGGCTTTTACATCATAGTATTTGGTCAGAGTGTCTTGTATCTGATCGAGTGATTACCTTGCTTGCTGGTGGATTGTTTTTATCCAGTTTGCATAAAGTGACACCAGAATTTTGCACCTCCCATACCTTCATTCATTCAGTCTGGATAAAATTCATAGTTTGCATAGATGTGGATCATTCTATGTGCATTGGCTGTTGAGTTATTGTAGGCTTGTTTGGCTAGAGATAGTAATTAGTACCAATCGTCCTAATCATAATTGATGAAACATCACGGATAATCTTCCAGCACTTGGTTGGTTCACTCAGTTTGTCTGTCTATTTGTAGGAGGTATGCTGTAGACATTTTCTTTTTTATGTGCAATGTTTTGTTCAAGGATTCTCAAAATTCACCAGCAAACTTTGCATCTACATCTGAGATAAAAATCTGTTAATAAGCTGTGCAGCTTCTATATTTCCTTCATGAAGGTTGTAGTAACATTTTTCATGGTGGCTATTCCTTCTAATCTGACGATGTGGGCCATTTTGGTAAACTAGTCAACTACTACCATAATCTGAGTACATTCTTGGCTTTGTGGTAATTGTGTGATAAATTCTCTGGATATTAATACCGTAGGGAATTGACAGTAGTTGTAGTGGACCATATTTCTCATATCTTTAGGATTTGTTATATTGACAATCATTACACGATCATATGTAATTGTTTATCCAATCTGCCTGGCCTTTCCACTAAAAGTTCCTCATAATTATTTTGAGGGTCTTTTCTTGTCTGAAGTGTCTAACTATTTTAGCATCGTAACATCCTTCTGCTATTGTTATTAAAAGGTCTTAGTTTATTGGCACAAATAGCCTTTAGTTGTAGTAAAGCAACTCGTCGGATAGGGTCTAGTCTTCTAGGAAAGGTTTACTATTTTCTTGTAGTTTCTCTACCATATTTTTTCTTTTAAGCTATTCTCTGTCTCCCGGAATGGCCTTTAGGATATGTACCAAGAATTTTAGATTGAATTTCTTGAATTGCTTGTGGGCTAGTATTGTGTTCGTCATGAGGATTCACTTAGGTACTTCGGTTGCATCATACCTGTGTATATTTCAGTCTACTGATATATGTAATAGGCTAACTACAGGTTCCAATTCTTAGATAGCTAGAACCCTTGTTCCAATATCCATATTGCTGAATCCTCTCATGTCTTTTTCAGTATCTTCTAGGTTGTCTATTTCTATCATATTTGCAGTGTTAATATTTTTTATTACTATCTGAGTAATTTGATTGCCGGCTTTAATATGACAGTCTACATTCCAATAGTTAAATAGTAACACTTTGAGTTCGCCAGAATAATCTGTATCCATTACACCAGCACTAGTAGAGATACTGCTTTTAACCGCTAGCACACTTTTAGGAGCAATTCTTCTGTAAGTTTCGGCTGAAAGGGCGATTCAAACACGAGTTCCAACAATTAACTGTTACTGTATTAGGACTATATCTTCCTGTACAGTTTAGAGATAGTAGCCTGTGGCCATCCTTAAAGCTTTGGTTAGAAACATTACTATTATGTCTAACCGCTTTACTTGAATCATGGAGTCTGAGTTATTCCAATTTGCTGTTTCCTATATATCACCTATACTCATGTTATCTGCTGTACTGCCAGCTATTAGGCATATTTGAATTTCCCCTTTTATAGTTCTTATTTCTGAACTAACTTCAAAATGTTCAGGCTTCAATATTGCTTGTTTGCAATATGTAACTCCCTCCTCAGAACAGTTCTCCAGCTGTTACCTGAGTTTATCAGGTTTGCCTGCTCTTGTGCCTTGGTGGTAAATGATTTTGAAGTTGTAATCTACTAACTTCTGCATCTAACGGATTTGGCAACCACTCCAAAGCTTCAAGTTGAGGAAATATTAGAGGTTTTAGTGATGGTTATATACAGTTATTAATTTTTCAGTTTGAATCGGGTATTGGCGCCATACCTTGAATACTTCCAAAATGGTTAACAGTTTTTTTTTATCGTATATCTCATATTTACGCTCTGCGCAGTTTAGTTTGTGGAAGTCAAAAGCTACAGGATATAGTCTTTT